AATGAAATATTGAAACCCTGTATCACATTAGGAATAGCATACATGTAAGTAATATTAGACTCATTAACTTAAGAATACGTTATACATCAAAAACTACACTTGGCGTAAGAACATACTAAGATTATTCTTGATCATTTTTCAATATGTTTTGTTATAATTATACGCTGGTATTTATATGTTATGGAACTGGACTAGTGTAAAGAAAACCTGCCATTTCACAGTGAGAACTTGTTACAATGTAGTGATACACAGAAGTCATGTTCAAATGTGTTGTCATAAAAATATATATTTTACTCCTCTAGTGACAAGAGAAGCTGTTTCCCCAGAAGAAGAATCTTCAGTTACAATCTTTGATTTTAAAATAAAGGAAGAAAAGTATGATGAAGTACCAAAGGAAACTGAGGTAATTTGGAGATTAAAAGGACTTATAATTATCTTAGTAGGGATAAATAGCTAGATATATTTTAGAGAACATTAATGAAGTATTGAATTTGAAGTTGTTGTTTATTATCTCCATTTTTTAAAAAATAAGTAACATTCAAAAATATCTTTAGCTATGAACAAGAAGGTATAACTTTGGCTTTTTTTCTATACTTGATTATGTAACCTTTAGACAAGGATGAATACTATTTCAAAAACTGTGAATTTAATGTGTATTTCTGAGGATTTCTGGCATTTTAATGTTTAGAGATGACTTTAGTTGTTTTATTTTTGGTGTCAAGTGTGTGTTTGAGTGACTGCCAATTATAAAAAGAAAATTATAATAATTAGTAGTAGTGCTTGATGATTAGTGGATTTTAATAATTGATTAATTATCAGGCTCATCGACCAGTTACATTCATCTAATTGGTTTTTCTCATGTGACACTTAGATATTTTGAATAATTGAAAATAATAATAATTTGAATCACAAATTTGGATTCACTGGTTATTCTGACATGATATTAATGTGCTTCCTCCACAACTTTCTTCATTACTACATTATTCTAACATAATATTAATCTGCTTCCTACACAACTTTCTCCATTACTACATTATTCTAACATGATATTAGTGTGCTTCCTTGACAACTTTCTCCACTACTACATTATTCTGACATGATATTAATGTGCTTCCTTGACAACTTTCTCCATTACTACATTATTCTAAAATGATATTAATGTGCTTCCTTCACAACTTTCTCCACTACTACATTATTCTAACGTGATATTAATGTGCTTCCTTCACAACTTTCTCCACTACTACATTATTCTGACATGATATTAATGTGCTTCCTTCACAACTTTCTCCATTACTACATTATTCTAACATGCTATTTTCATTCACTTTGTTTTGTTTTTAAAGTAATTTTGTAATTATCCTTGGTTTCATATCATAGAACTTTTCTGTGAGTTACTATTTGCACTTTTTTGGTCTAACATTTATTTTACCAATAGTAATGCTTTTATTTAAAACATATCATAACTGCAATTAGAAATATTTAAGTAGCCAGTCAGCCAAATTGTCTATGTGTGTTGTTTCAATAGGATAAACACAAAAATAATATTCAGTAAAGATTCAAGTCATCAGAATACTTTGTAGTAACCTACCATACTCACTAAACAACATTATACAACATTAAAGAATGCAGATATTAATTTCTGGTAAAAATGGATTGAGGCCTAGACTTCCTGGACCCTTCCACTAGATCCATACCTGCATACACAACATTAACCCATTAACTGCGGATGATGGATATTTCCATCATTGAAGTTCTATGGCTCAGCTGCGAATGACAGAAATATCTGTCAGTCTCACATATATAACTATAACTCTATGTGAATGATGAAAATTACCATTTTATTGTGATTGATGGCAACTCAGTTTTATCTGTGAGTCAGAAACAACAACTGAGCTGTTCCTGCCGCAGTTAATGGGTTAAAGAATAGTTACACAATTTTAAATAAGAAGCATAACAGAATGTAAAAAACAGTAAATGTTCCCATTATTTAACACTTACGTTGTCAAAGAGTTGATGATGGGTGCTGCCAGACAGTGGATTTTCCTCTGATCAGCAGTTGAAAATTATTGGTAGTGGGAGATAGCCTTAACAACTGTGGAATAGCAAAGATAGGGCAAGCAAGCTTAGCAGCAATGGGAATAAAACTATAAATCATCAAATCATGAGCCTCACCCCATTACGCTTAGTAACAAACAAATATAATGACAATATTTCAATTACTTGGAAAGTCGGGATAATGAAAACTTTAATTTCAATTAGTTGATTATTTTTGTGATTGATTTGATTGTAATTTTGATTGATTGCTGGATTAATAAAAAAACAGTAAATGATTGTATACCTTAATGTCAATTAGTTGATTGGTTTCAGGACATTCAATTGAATTGTAATTTTGACTAACAAATTGTTGCAATAATCAAAAATTGTAATAACTTGAACAACTAATTTCAATAAATTGGTTATTTTCATGACAATCCGTTTAATTGTAATTTTGACTATTGGAATAATCAAACAGTAATAACAGGAAACATTATTCATTAATTGATTATTTTTGTGGCAATAATTAATTATTTGTAATTTTTACTCAGCTTATGAGACACTACTCACTGTAATTGCATCTAATCGGTAATAGATTAACTTGCTAAGCTTTATCATACTACATTATGTTTGATAAAATATTTTTGACATGGAAATTGAGAAATAGAATGGTGAGGTGTTGTTATTTTGATTGTATTCACGAATTACTTGTCTTTACTTTGTTTTTTTGTTTGCATTTATTATTTATTTAAGAAAAGTTTTGAATGTATCATACTTCATATGAATTCTAATAAAAATCAGTAATATTACTATACCTATGTGGTATATAGGTGTATCATGTGTTTCTTACTTTATTATATTGTATCATTTATTATGGTGTATGTACATTTTCTCACATGACACGTCAAACAAATCATTAAGTTCTTTTTGCTCTAGCTGCTTATTTTTGTGTCATACACATTTTCTAGTTGTGGAGAAGATAGTTGTAACGTTTTACTTTGTATATGAAAGTAGAGTGCAGTTTTCTCCATTGGTTGGTCAGATGATGTCTGGAGATTATAACCTCCCTTATATACAATGAGAATGACCACCAACACTGACATAGATGTTTCATGCTCCTTGAGAGGGACAGCATTGTAGAACTTTGTGTATAATGTTATAATCTCTTACGTTAGCTTTTATTCTCTTGAGATCAAACCCTCAGTTTGGTGGGTAAAGTTTAACTTTTTTTTTATATAGTGCTACCTTCCTATAACCTTGAATGTTAGGTAGTTCTTAATAAGCATATTAATAAGTTATTAGGAGAGTTTTTAAAGAGTTAACTATTTAGTGAAGGTACTGTTTTTCATCATGTTCACTTATTTAACTTTGATTGTTTTTAGTTTAAATGAGGATTTGTTTTCACTGTGTGTTCTGCAATATGTTCAGTCTCTATCCCTGACTAACTCAGTCAAGTTCAGAAATTTAAGAATTAATTTATGAAAAATATCTTGTAGAATTTCCTGTTGTTTTGTGGACTTATCTTGTCACTGGTAGGGAAAATCTTAGAATACCAAAGAATAGATGGGAATAGAATTTTTTGGTGCCAAGACCACAGAACATGTTATTGTACAGCTTACAAATGAAAACACACCAGCTACTGACATAACTTGTGTTTATCTAAATTAGTTTTTAGTGAGGATATTGTTTAGTTTACTAAGCAAACTTACCAGATATGATTCCAAAACAAAAATACCAGTTGTAACTTATTGAGTTTTACTTGTAGTACTTGTGTTCTGCATTGACAACATTAGTTATTATTGATCATCTTTTGTTTTAGAACACATTTGTCAAAGTTAAAACTGAGCAAAGTGTTGATTCAACAAATGATGACATTATTTCCAAGTTCAGTGAGAGTGATGATGAAACTGTTGATTGTTCACAACATGATATTATAACTGTGAAAAAAGAAATTGAACCAGAAGAGGAGTTTCAACCAATTAATTCTGGATCAGAAGGTTTATCAGGTGAGTGTAAACTTCAATAACTATATCGATTATGCATATAGTGGTAGACATACTAGTAGAAAAGTGTTATTACTGCATTGTGTGAAATACTGCTAATAATATATAGTTTTTGTAGAAACAAAAGTCTGTATATGAAAAAATTATGATAATTTCTTGGATTTCTTTTAGAAATTTACTTAATACAGCATTTGTTAGTGTAAGTAAAATACTTATATCTAGGTAGTTTTGATGTTTGATTCATTCTGACGTACTGAGCTTCACGTTAATAATGATAGCACTGACTCCAGTGGAGTGAGGTAAAAATGCTGAATGAAAAAGTCTAAAATAACAGTCAGGAAAATATTTAATTTCAAAACAGGCATATTTACCAGTTTGAAATTCATTTTAACTCTACAAATGTAAAATTCTAGTTTCTAATATGCATAAGGTTGCTGTTATTTATATGCTATTTAAAATAATCATTTCAAAGTAACTGTGAGTAGACAGAAAGTGAAGAAGAGAGAAAATTATATTTAAAATATTTGGATAGGTAATTAAACATTGATATTAATTTTGTGTTTTTTCTGTGTAATTTATAAAGCTAATGAAAAAAAAATTCTCAATCACAGTTAGTTGAATTGTTTAAGAAAATTGTATTACAACCAGTTTAACCCCTTCAGTCCATTGAGCTCCTTTCAGGTGTGGAGTTCACACCTATATACTGTATTTCAAATGTAAGTAAAATAATTATAACTCTAACAATTTTTGTCTCAGAATTATCTTAGAATTGATATTTTATCATTTCATAACATTTATATAATGTAATTTGTAAAGAAAAATAAAAAAAATGTTCAAGTTTACATTTCTATATAAGTTTCAGGATTGCAAGATAAAGTGGTTTGTCAGTCCTTTTGTTGAGGTACTAAACATTTCAGTATTTAGCTAAAGGTTACACCATTATTGTCAAGAGCCTATAAGTTCCAGTGGTTTTATATTTTGTATAGTACGGTTCAGTATATTTGTTATTTGGTGGAACATAACTACACTCAAGATTTTAGTCATTTCAGCATTTATAATTTTACATCTGTAGGGAAAATTGACTCAGATACTTTCATAACATTGAATACAATATATTAGACATTCAGAAACTATATTCATAGTTAGCCTATTCATTTATAGTAGAGACAGCTGTATTAGTTTTATTGGAAGGAAAAGCCATTTAGCCAAGAATGTGTATAAAAAAGCACTGGCAAAAGAGTTTTATATTGGACCATCATGCTCACAACAAAGAAATTGAAAAGAAATAGAAAAAATTACTGTTAAATTCACTATAAAAGCAATACCCATAAAGAAAAGATGAAAATATAAAAAAAATTAACCATTGCAGATGCACTATGAAATTCCATCCTGCTATAGACAGAACTGTGACATAGTGGGTAACAGATCTAAAACCAGAATACCACAAAAAGTAGGAAAACAAAGAAGAAAAACCACAAAAAAGAAATGTGTCCAAACCTTGCCAAACATTACTGCGGACAGGTGCAAGTTCTTAATTTAAGAATGCATAATAGCAGTAGTACTTTTTGAAGGACAAATGAAGTTGTGCCAGTGTTGTCTGTATAACTAAGTTACCAAATATCAGGATTTATTAATGTTTTCTGTAGTTTATTGGTGGAAGTAGCTCAGCACATGAAGGAGGGTATGATGTGTAATTTTTCATACAGCTACACCTGCCTTTAAAGTGCACAATAACATTAAAAATATTTGTCCGTTATGTTAGTGTTAAACTGTTCACTTGTTTTATTTATTTTTTCCTCTTAACTTTTTTTCAGTTGAATTTTGATTAGACATGACTGAAATTAAAAATTCAAGATGATAATATGTTACTTTTTTTTTAAATATAGTTTAAGATTTTTTGTTTTTCCTTGACCACACAACAGTTTCTACAACTGAAACAATCAAACCTTACTGTTCTATATATATTTTTTATTGAAATCTGAATCCAAATTTAAAAATAAATCTTAACTATGAAGAAATTTAAAGTTTTCAATAAAAGCAGTTCAATAACTTATATGAATTAAACTTCATAACTTCATATAATATTATTTCAAATTATCAAAAAGTATGTTTTCGAAATCATTAAAAAACTGTCAGTGTAAGTTTTATAAAAGCAGTAATTTTACTAGTTTAAAATCAAACCTGATACAGGTTAATTTTAATTAGGCATATGTTTTTCTTCCTGATGAGATACATAAACTATATTGGCATATTGGCTTTCAATGCCATCTAGAATATTCATTGTCAACAAACAGGTGTTTGACACATATATGCAAACACATCAAAATGAGGTTTTCATTTTAAAAAATGAAAGAACAATGTGTAAGACTTCATACAACATGAACTGCAAAAAAATTACACTTGTATCAATGTGTTATTGTCTAAAAACTTGCAAGTAAATATGTCACTGGCATAATTTATCATAGGGCATGTGAGAGGAAAGAATCCTGACTAATATGTATATATATAGTTCAGGGCAACTTCATTTTAATAGATTCCATCCAAATATTCATAAAGTTACATATAATAATGTTTATCTTATTACGGTGACAAATGTTAATTCAATTTATGCAAACAAATAGTAGTTACGTATTTAAATTCAACTAACAAAATATGGGATGCACATTTTTTGCATGTGCATTTTGGGATGCATTAACCTTTTTGAGATGGGTCATGGCTGAAAGGCCATGTTGTCTCGTTTGTTGACTCGCATTCAAAATTTTATTGAACGACTATTTCATGAATATACATCAATAAATTGGGTATCAAACTGTAGATTGTACTTCAAATTTTAGTACTATACATTACTCA